GAACCTTTTGCCACAATTGCAGGATCGAAATCTTTTGGGCATATCCATGTGGTTTCTTTTGTTTCGATATTGTAATAATAGGGGCGCCCCTCACTTGTTTTATATTCACGCCACTGTTTCGCTGCGGCAATTTTTTTCTGAAATTAAAAAAAAAAACCATATAGAAAACAAAAAACAGAAAAATTCACCAAACAGAAAACAGGAAATACTCGTCGTAAAATTCACTTCTTCTGGAGTTTTCAGTTCATCCGGTTTCTGCCACGAAGATTGTTTCGTCACTTTGTTATAATAATAAACTCGTCCATCTGACGCCGTATGTTCCGACCAAATCTAAAACGCTTCAGAATGAATCTCACCATTGCCCTGGTTGAAAGTTACAGAACAACGCGAATTCTAAACAAACAGCGAGCTCATCAGAAATCGGACATTTCTTTGTAAAAATTCAATTCTGGGAAAATATCAGGGAAGAAAAAATCTTTGAAGACAGAGTAAATAAGTTACAAATTTGATGTATTTCAAGATATACTAATCTCCAAACAAAAGACCAATCTAACAGTTACCGACTTACCAAGTGTTATGTATTAACTATAGGCATGCAGCTCTGCATCGAAAGGACTGGCATTACTACGTCCGAAGTATTTAAATATGTCAGTAACATAAAAATTGGAGCCGCTACGTTGAGTGTTCTGGAAGATTTGGTCTTGCTCTTGATATATTTCTATCCTTCTAGCAAATTAGCTACATGTCTTTTCAATACATGGCGGGTAGGAGGCTGTACTGACGATCCCCACTCCTACCCGCATGCATATTCTGGTCTGTGTTTACAGTTAAGGGATGAAACATAGACTGCATCGAGAAATATCACCCCACTACATCTACAAGATAAAGGTAATTTACACCATAACACCTTACACATAGCTTGCGTACAATCTTATTGGTCTATTATTCCATAGTCCTTACAATTCTGAATTGATAAGAGCCACTAGATGAGCTAGATGAGAAGAGTTGTATGCTTAACCTGGTACTTCTGAAACATAGAAGTCTCACAAGCTGATCATAGCCCAAACTCTATAAGTCATGAACTTTCGCTTCTCGACACTGCCATCTATGAAAATAAATAGCGACGTGCACCAGGGCAGCTGGTGTGATTATGCGTTTTGCACAATTCCGTCCACCGAATGATTGCCTGCTAATGATTTTCACTGCTCTGCACTTTGGTCTGCGCAAAAACAGCTGAAATGTTGTCTGGTTCCTAAGTTGCGGAATACCACTAAAGATTTCATGCACTGGTACATGAAAGCTGAATATGAAACTTCGAAAGGTTAATATCCTTCCACAATTTCAGTCTCCTAACTTTTCGGCTTTCGAATGATTTTTGCGACGAAATTTTCACGTGATCGAACGTGAGATCTCGGCATGCTTAGGGAACTGAATTCGAGTTTGTGAAGCCCCTGCTTAGGTAGAAAAAATTTCCCTGAAATTTTCAGCCTCCTAATTCTTCTGGCTCCCGAGATAATGATTTTTCTCGCCAAAACTTCCACGGATCGTTGAAAATTTGCGGAGTTGTACGTGGGCAGGGGATGCCACGCTAAAATTCCAGCTCCTTAGCTCTTGCAGTTTACGTGACAATTCCCCTATCCAAACTTTCGCGGAGCAGTTAATGGTACCTGCGGGCAAGGGAGGGCCGAATTTAAATTTGCGGGGTCACACGTGGGTGGGAAACGTTCCCCTAAATTTTCAGCTTTCTAG